TACAAAGCTGCTAGAGCTTTAATCCAAACATTTGAGCCTTTATCCAAGTTACAATTCCATTTTTGGCACAAAGTTGTCATTTCCATTTTGATAAAGCATTACTTTTGCCTTTGTCAACTTCTTGAGCCTCTCAATTGTTTTCTATGCACACAAGCAAATTCAAAACCAAAAGTAACTTGTCTAAGGTCTCTACCAACTCAGATCATGCTTGTATAACACTTAGAGACTTGTCTCCTCACTTTTCTTCAAAAGCAAGTTATAGAGCCAAAAGGATATAACTTAGAAACCTTGGGTGGAGTTGATCTCTAACCTTTTCCATACATATACACAAGTGTATTACAACATAACACACGAAGGATAAGACTCCAAAACACTCCCAAATACTCTGCAACTCAGAATCTGCCATAACTTGAAAGTTTTGAACCTTACATAGTCATCTCCAAATCCCCTCGTGTGTATTGAGTTTTAACCACCCAAAAACTTAATATACATCATGTCTAAGTGATCAAGACCCATGTTCCCTCACTGTAACTCCTCCTCCACCATCCACCATTTTCAAATATCAAGCTTTCAGGTTGACTTAAGTAGAGAGATTCAGAGACTTTCAGGACAAAGTAAGGATTGGAATACACTCAGGGAGGTCCAGGCAAGCTAAACAGATCCTCAGGCCTTCTCAAAACTTGCTCAAACTCTATTCACGATCTCAGCTGCAAGAGGTAAAAACTCAAACTTCTATCTCTTCATACAAGCATCATTTGTTCTTGATTTGTGAAGGCAAAATATAGATATCCTTGCTCTAAAGCTAACCGTGTTCATAGTTTTCATTTATATTAACTATATATAGAGAATTTTAGATTTGAAATTTCTGCAAAAATTAGGTTTCAAATTAGGGCCAGTAAAATTAGATCTTATCTTTGACTTTTAGTTTACATAAATCATATGGTTGAACTCGTGGGAAGAAACACTATAACTTTCATGTTTGAACTTTCTATTTTTATGGAGAAATGAAGAAGATACAGGTGGTCCGGCCATGGCTCAAGGTTGAGGATGAAGTTGCCTTCAGGAGGCGTTTTCTAATATATATTTATGTTTGTGTTTATATAAACGGATGTACAGCCACCCCAGTCGTAAGGCAACGCGCGTAAATGCTAGAGGTCACGGGTTCGAGCCTCAGCGCGCTTCCTTTTGCATTTTCTCACTTTTTTTTACTCTTTTTTGTCTTTTGCAGCGCTGGGCCTCCAAATCTTGGGCTTTTTTGTTTTTTCTAACAGTTACCCCCCTGTCTGCTTGTGACACCCTTGGCCCATATAATTTTATTTATTTATTTTATTCTTATTTTATTTTCTTAAATATATTTTTCTTAACATTAAAAATCATAAAAAATATGAAAATGATAGATTTATATTTTGACTTGTTTTATTTTATTTTTCTCACATAAAATATTTTTATTTAGTTATATATTATCTATTTTTATGAAGTAAACTTTGTAAATTAAATTATAACTAGTTTAATATTTATTTTTTCTTTATACCCATTAAATATTTATTTCAATATAAAAAAGGACCAAAAATACCTCATAATGCCATATATTATTTTCAAGACAAAAGATACAAAATATACTTTTTTTCATAAAGAAACTTATTTTTTAATCAAATAGAATTAGGGTTTATTCAAAAAAAAAAACTTTTTCTTAGATAATTCCTTTCCTTAATTAATTTAAGTTAATCTTGATTTACTTATTTTTTAATTAGGTTTTAGGTTAAATCTTTTCCATATAAAAAACCAAACAAAAATCTTCTTTGCATTTACACATCTAGGCATATTTAATTCATCTTGTATATTATGTATTCCAATTATTTGTACAAATTCAATTTGATTGTAATAGATTAATTAGGTTTATATTATTGCAATCCCCATTCATAAATTGTATACCCCCTCCCACAAATGTTGTAATAGCGTAGTAACTTTAAATATCGCAATTTATCGCTTTTATATAACATGCTAGTAATTAGGGTTTGTATGGGAAGATAAAAATCAATTAAATATAAAACCCTAATTCAAGACAAAATCAAGCATGAAAATGACACACTTTCACACAAGCACCCCTAGGGTTACTCCACTTGGTTACCTTATACAAAATGGCCATATTACGCATGTAAGGTGTCTTAGCAAAAATAAACAAATACAAGATCATAGTCCCTCGATGACGCTATTCAAAGTTGCCTTACAAAATGATCTTAGTCCCTCAAAAAATGCTAAGATACTTTGCAACATTGCTAATCATGGCTATACGATGACCCACGCCCGTCCCGTTTACATCCAAAGATAGGGTTGCTTACCAAATCAATGGTAAGACAACAATATCAAAGGAAAAGAAAATGAACAAGAAAGACATTTGAGTAGGTAAATTGCTTTTAGTTACTTGTTCCATTTCAAAATAAACCTCCTTGCTATTTTCAAAACAAACACACACATTTCCAAACATCTTATAAACATTGAAAACATTTTCAAAAAGATCAATATCTTTGTATACATTCTTACGAACGAGAATCATTACAAAGATTGCCTAAACAATGACCTCTTTTACAAAATACTTTCAAAAACCACACAAAACACAATTTCAAACAAAAGCAAGTGATCTAGCAAGTAACTAAGAGCCCATGGAAAACCATGGATGAAAAGGGTGCTAATACCTTCCCTTTTCATAATCTACCCCCGAACTCAAGAAACAATCTCAAAGGTCTTTCCTGTGCTTTTTCACCTTTCCTTTTGGATAAAAGAAAAGTCGGTGGCGACTCTTGCTAACCACAATATTTGCGATAAAACGCAAAACCTTCAAGTCAGTTCTCCCACCGTATCACAAAAACACTATTCATACACGCACCTCTAGGATGACTCCACTTGTTGCCTCAGAAAAAATACAATCATATCCCTTGAATGTGGGACGCTTTAGCAAAGACCCTCGGTTTAAAAGATCGTAGTCCCTCGATGACCCTTCGATGTTGCCTTCGATAAATGATCTTAGTCCCTTACGATAAAATTGTTAAAGTGCCCTACAAGTTGCCTTTATAATTGTACGATGACCTACGTCTGTCCCTCATACATTCAACGATAGGGCTTCTGACTAACTAATGATAGGATAAAACTATCTAAAAAAAGGAAAATAACGCGAAAGACTTTTTGAGTAGGTAGATAGCTCGTAATCGTTTGCTCACACAAAACATTCTTCATACAATGACATTTTTCCAACAAATATTTTCAAAATAAACATTTAGTATGCATTCTCAACGATACGAGAATCATTACAAAATTGCCGCACTTAGGTATTTTTGAAATATTTTCAACCACACAAAAGCATTTTCAAAAGTGAGCTAGCGATTAAAAGCCCGTAGATAACTACGGATGAAAAGGGTGCTAACATCTTCCCTTTTCATAACCTACCCCCGAACTCAAAATATTAAAAGGTATTTCATGTTCTTTTCACCTTTCTTTACTGGATAAAAGAAAACTCGGTGACGACTCTTGTAATCCGCAACATTTATGATAAAACAGAAAACCAAAAGTCATTTCTCCCACCGTATTACACACATGTTTAAGATATCAATACAATAGATAAAATAAATCTTTAAAGTATACATGTCTCACACATTTTAGGCTATTAGCACACAAATTTTACAAATAGTATATTTGGTACATTAGGTAGTATATTTTCACGAAGATAGAAGCAAAGTGATTCCAAGACAAAATTACATGTTCATTTCATTCCCATAATCTATCCTTTCCTTTCATCCTCATAGTCCATCTATATAAATCAAATTCTAACAATTTAAGTATTGGATTAAATATCTCAGACATCTTCAATAAGATTAGAAACTACATACTTTGTTGTTTAAAAATTTTCTATTTCTCCAACACACACTCTTATTCCATGCAGACTTTTTTAGTTTTATTTTCTAAGTTTTAATCTTTCATTCAACATAGCAGAGAAAGTGATAGAAATAATATCGGATATGGACATGCATGTTGAGCATTCAGAGTCTCTAAAACGTGTTGAGACAGAGGTTTTGTTCCCAAAAATCATTGCCAAAAAGGAGAATTTAGAGGATGTTGCAGTACATAAAGAGAATGATAATCATGGCAATGCATAAAATTCACATCCCAATTTACAAATATTTGTTTCAGATTTGTTTTGGAAGAAAGAAATCATAAAAGCAGCAAATGGTGGAAGAAATGTCTTGGTGATAATTTATTAAACTTATTGAATAGTATTTTGCGCGCGCGCATATATATATATATATATATATATATATATATATATATATATATATATATATATATATATATATATATATATATATATATATATATATATATAAAATGACAGAACATTCAAATATTTTAGTATTTTTCAGTTGAGATTGTTAAGAAGGGTCTATGTGTGGATCAGATATCCTTGACTTTGATGGAAAAACATACCATGATTGTGAGATTCTTAAAGGCGAAATCCCACATACAAATATGTATCTTGGTAATGGTTGGTATGAATATACAAAATCCAAAAACTACAATGTTGGTGATGTCTTGGTTTTTCATTACCGATCTGATTCACTGACGTTGTACATTAAGACTATCAGAAAGCAAAGAAGAATAAATTGTGGAAGTCATGCATGAGAGTTTAGGATATTTTGCCTATGTCGTTTGAATGTTTAAATATTGTACTAGGATAAATTATTTTATGATTATGGCAGTAATATTCGTATTTTATGTGAAAGTTATTGTTCATGTTTTTCTTATCATTTAATTTTAGTGTTATGAATGACAAGTAACATTTTATTCTCCTTTAACTCTTGATTATTAGATTTATGCTTTTTTTATGAGTAAAACAAAATCATTTCAAAAAACTTTAATTGTTTTTTACAACATAATACCAATTATAATCTTATTTCCATTTTTTTTTTAGAAGAGTGAAATACATAATGTTTCCTTCTTTGAAATCGACGATGGTGACGGGAACAACTTCTCCTTTAGGTTCGAAATAACTCATCATCCCGAGTTCGGTGCCCGTGAATCCAACTCCTGCTTCCAAACTCGTGACAACCACTCCTCTGTTGTTCAAAGTAGTTTCGTCTTCAAAATGAATATTCAACAGCTCTAAAGACAAATCTCAGGTCTATATAAATCTTCCATTCTCACTTTTTTTTATTTAGGGTTTTACATTTTCATCTTCAATTAGGGTTTTTGTTTGATTTTTGTGTTTATTTTGTAGAACGCCAAGGATTACCGGGGAATCACTACACATTGATTTTTATAACCTATGCTATTTGCACCCTATAGGACCAGAAGAAATTTTAGGACCTGCAAATCACATAACCAGAAGCCCTATTTGGTTCAAAACCCAATCCTGCTAGGCCAGTTAGCGCCAATGGAGGAGACAACGATACTCCTAGCTGAAGGCTATCGCTTAATGCTTATCAAAATGGAAGTAGGTTCATAGAAAAAGATGAAAAAAAGGACAATACTAGACCAGTTGCTCCTGTGAATTATGTAGCTATGTCAAAAGAAGATGCTGCTCCCATGTTGAAATATTGGAGTACACAGGTGACAACTATCAGAAAGAGTCCAAACATATTGAACAGATTTCAAATAACCTGTCTCATTTATATTTTCCTCTGATGCTTCAAAAATTTTATTTTCTTGTCTGTTATATTATTAATACCACGATTGCAATGTGAACTTTTTGACCTATTTCAAATAACCTGTCTCATTTATATAGGTTTTCACGATATTTTGTGATCCACAATTGACAATTATGTACCAATTCATCTTCATCTGGGAAGTAGTTCTTTCGAATGTATGAAAGGTTATTTGTTTAGTAATGATAAAAGTACTATAAACTTATGCTTGAAGTGGGATTGCTTTAAGTTTTTCAGGGATTGGTTATGTAGAGGCTAAACTGATATATGATATTCTCCTGAAGTCTAATACAGAAAGCATGAATTTATTTGGTCGCTTATCTGGTGCTGCAGTGAGATATTCATACCCCTTCTTACTGATTCTGAAATTATGTATGATTATCATCATCATCATCTTATTCGTAATTATTATTATTGTTATTATTTGTGTAGGGTACATGGGAAGCAATTGTGCGGTCTTTTGAGAAAGACCGTGTTTTCCTTGGTGGAGCTGCTCTTATTATCACCCAAAATGTGAATTATGAAATGTAAGCAATGTGATCTTTTTGGTTTTCGTTTATAAATTGTGAAGAACATGACACACAAGAGAGTATTCTTATGTTTCTTTTAGCTTGTCATTGTGTTGTTTGTTTCTGTTATGAACTCCTTATCAGATGAAACAGGTGTAGAACATTCAACAACAACTGGCAGAACTTGATCGCGAGGAAACTGATATAAAAAGAAATGTTGCATTCTCGGCAGCCAAATATGTTGAGACTTGTCAGGAGCTTGGCCTACAAGTTTGGATTGTACAATTTATTTATTTTCTATTAAATGGAGATTACGTAAGTCTGAACTGTAAATTTTGCTTATTTTATTGTTTTCATTTATGTCTAACGCATATTTCCTGCAACTCTCTTGAGTTATTGCGGTTAGCGGAAAATTCTATAGCTGTGAAGTGTTGATTGTTGAATTTTTGTTTATTTTGGTTAGGTTAATTCATGTACTGGAAGAATGGGAAAAGCTGTCATTAGTGCTCCAGAAGTTGTTGGACTGAATGTCGTGCCAATGTCGTTTGAGGTCTTGAAAAGTTCTGAAACATTCCAAGAAAAGTGATTGAATCTGGTTCTATCAAGATCGATTCCAACAAATTTGTCTTCTATGAATAGTCTCAAACCTGATTGGAGATTACTCTTAATTAGAAGGTATTCCATTGTAATTGTCTCAAACAAAGTTGAATGTGTTTATGACAACTTTGTTACGCTTATTTTTAACTTTTTAACTTCTAAGTTTAATGCAGATGAGTATAAATTTGCAAAAGTTGATTTGGTAGCTCTATTTTTCAAGCCAGTAGCGGGAGTGATACCTAATGTTCATCATATATAACGTGTTTATAATGTTATTGGTAAAATAACATTTTACAGTGTTATTATTTGATAGTCACATATGAACAGAGTTGTAAATTTTGTGACATTTCTCTATCATATCAGCCTCTGAATGCTATATCATTCAGCTTTGGATAATTAATAGAAAAGATAAACAAAAATTTCTTAAATGAGAAATAAGAAAATACATAGCTTGCATCGATAATTTCAAACCACTTTAAAAAAGATTTTGATTTTAATTTCTTAATTGATATTATAGAATTAAAGACTGGATGATTTTTTTTTTGGTAACTTACAAAAATATTAACAACTTCTATCCTTTTTAAATTAACATCATAATTTAGAAATTAAAATATTGTTTTATAGCTAAATAAATTAAATTTTTAAGTAATAAAATATTTTTATAAACAAAAAATAGTTTATTACTAATAAAAATATTTTTCTGTGTACTACTTCACATGATTACCTCAACATATTCACATGATTTATGGATTACAAACCTCTCAAAATATCTTTCTCACATGCTTGAGTCAAGCCCCACACACTTACAAAAACTCACCCTAAAACCTTAGCATAAATCCTATATAAACCCACCTTATTTTCACTTAGCCTCATGAATTTTCACCTTGAGCAAGAACCTACAAACTTCAATTCCACAACCGCAACAACTACACAAAAAACCCAATAAATTCCTCACCCAAAGCTCATTATGTAGTTGTTTAGAAGCTTTACATTGAAGCTTCAAATAGATGATCTTAAACTCATCCTTGCATTCTCCTCCAAAAGCATACACAAAATCACAAACAAGAAGTAGAGAAGAAGAAGATGAACTCATAGTAGAAGAAGAAAGGAAGAAGAGAAGGAGTAGAAGAGGCAAACAAACATATTTGGTGATGCATATTTGTTTTTATTATTGTTTTATTTTTTAGTGGGCCTTAAGCCCGTTATTTTTTTTTTTACTCTTACAATCCCATATTTTGTGTATGTAACCCCATCCTTCGATTGTTGCTCTTTATTTTATTTATTCTTGTTTTTTTATTTATTATTTTAGCTATTTAAATAATTTAATTAATTAAATAATATGATAATTTAAAAATCAACTTTTCTTTAACAAATTAAACTCAAAACTTCATCGAGTGCCATTTTCAAAAATAAAAAACAAAACCTTTTCAAAATAAAATCAATCTCTTAAACATCTATTCACTTTCGCAAATAAAATCAATTATTTCATCGTCAATTCAAAAACTTCTCCATTCCACCGCAAGAAAATACGAACCAAATACTTTATCAATATCAAGTCCTTTTTTTCACACTCAATCAAATCATTTTCTATACAAATGCAAATTAAATATTTGGTCAACACCAAGTTCTTTTCTTGCATAATCAAAATCAATTCAAAAACATTTTTCACAATAAACTTGAAAGGAAAAGAGAATGGGTGAATGAAGATTTGTTTGTTCTTCGAGTATCGGAGGCATAGTGTATACTTTGCTCGTATTGATTACTCGCCTTCCGTAAAGATAATAGTTGAATAAACCTTTTTTGGATTAAAGAAGGAATGAGAGAATGTAGCTTCATTTGTTTCTCGAGTATCAGAGGCTTAGTGTACATTTTGCTTGAACTGATTATTCATATTCCACCTTAAAATCAATCTCAACTAATCAAAACTATATTTTCCACCTTAGCGAGATCACATAACTTTTCACAAATAAACATGTTTTATCCATTCTACCACGATATAAACAAACGTTTAAGCCTCCCACGTTCGAGCATACAAGCAACGTTTAACCGCTAGAGTACGACCAAAACATCATTCACTAAAACCAACCAACACACAAATCTTTTATACTTAGTGTAATATGGTGGGAGAACTGACTTGTTTTGTGTATTATCGCAAGTGTTGTGGATATCAAGAGTCGCCACCGACTTTTCTTTTATCCAATAAGGAAAGGGTGAAAAGAATAGGAAAGACCTTAAATATTTTGAGTTCGGGGGGTAGGTTATGAAAAGGGAAGGTGTTAGCCCCCTTTTCATCCGTAGTTATCTACGGGCTCTTAATCGCTTAGTTCACTTTTTGAAAATTGCTTCGTGTTGTGTGTTTGAAAAATATTTTGAAAGATTGCCAATGTAAGGCGAGACTTTGTAATGATTCTCGTATTTGCCCTCGAGAATGCGTACAAAGTGTTTTGAAAATATTTTGAATGTGTTTGTGTGAAATGTTTTGTTTTGAAGAGCTTGGTGAGCAAGCTTAGGAGTTCTACCCTACTCAAGGTCGTTCTTGTATTTTCCTCCTCCTTTAGATAGTGTTATCCGTACCATTAGTTAGTAGGAAGCCCTGTCGTTAGATGTGAAGGGACATGCGAGGATCATCGTACAGTCATCGAAGGCAACTGGTAAGGATGCTTTAGCAATTTTCATAAGGGACTAAATCATTTATCAAAAGGCAACGTCGAAGGGTCATCGAGGTACTATGATCTTTTTAATCAAGGGAATTTGCTAAAGCATCCCCACTTTCGAGGAACATGACTGTTTTCTGAAGGCAACAAGGGAGGTTATCCTAGAGGTGCAAGTGTATGAGTGTGTTATGTTCAGTTATTTTATCTTTTAAGTTAGGGTTTTCTATCATTCAGTTTTTAGTCTTTCCATGCAATCCTAATTACTAAGCAGTAATAGAAAATATAAAAAACAGTAAAAGTGCGGATAGTAAAGGCAGAAAATATAAACCTAAACTATTACATCGCTTCGGGGAAGATACATAATAGTGAAAGCAGAAAAGAAAATCCTAAGCTATTACATACTATAAGCAGATACATAATAATGAAAAAAACAGAAAATAAGGCTACGTCGTTATATTCGCGAACCTATACAGTCGATCTAAAACATAAAATTAAAATTGAAGGAAAAAAATGTTTTTGATGATTTTTTTATGAAAAAGGTTTATGAGAATTAATTAATAAACCTAAAAAAAGTCTAATTAATTTTAATAAAAAAATATTTATTAATCAAATTAATAAAAAAAGTAAGTGATAACAACCTAAAAAACTAATTATTTTTAGGGTTTGTGAAAAAAATATTCTTTAGGTTTTGTAAGAAAAGTGTTTTGGTTTATGGTTAGGTAAATTTAGGGTTTAATCTTGCCAAGAATGCATAAGGAAATAAAACCAAAAGAAAAAGGTTAGAAAATGAAAAAAACAATGCAAATGTCAGGGGTGGGTGTTGAACCTACGCCCTTCAGCATTCTCCACACACAACTTACCAGCAGGCCAAGCATTGGTTGGTGTTAGTAAGGTGTGCATCATTCAAAATATAATCAACCTGCAAGGAAAAAAATCATGAAAAATAAAATGTCAAAACCAGAGATCGAACCCACACCTTATTGTATGAACACGTTATCACGCGCGTGCTTGCCAGTAGGGTGGTTATACATCCATTATCATCAGTGAAAGGAAATAAATATAAAATGAAACCAAACAACTGGATCGGAGAAGCGTCGGAGTCCTAGCTTCGGTCGTCTTCTCCGATGACTATTATTTTGTTCCTGCAAAAACAACAAATGTTAGAGATCCAAAGGGACTCTACCCCCCTAAATTAATCCATGCGAGTTCAATAGAGGTATCAGATTTGGCTAAAACGTGTTGTAATAAGAGATATATCCAGAATAAAGTGAATTGGTGCAAACATGGTGATGCACGATTCCAGCAGCATGAGACTCTTGCGATGGTCCAATCTTGCACCTACTATGCTTTAGGAAGTGAATGGAAAGGTTATTTTTCTTGGAGAGTGGCTTCAATTAGGGTTTACAAGTTGCCCTAATTCTTTGATGTTTTTGGAATTTTGAAATGGTGCTTTTGTGCAAATATTTTTTGTGTGGCTCTTGTCTGAATAATATGGAATATATAAGGATGAAATTAGGTCCACCAAAGAATGGGGTTGGACCTTTGTAAGAAGCCTTGTTTTATTTCATTCATTTTGAATTTTAAATAAATAAAATAAAAAATAAATAAAATAAAAACCCAAGGGGTGTATGAGTAAGCTCTGAGGTTCATATTGAGGTATAAAACACACATGGACTTTTAATCACAAGCCTAATTGCCCAAAAATTCAAGTTTGATCACTTTTGTTTTAATGCATTTCCTCAAAATTTTCCCAACTTGCACCAATCATAACTCTCTCAATTTTTATCATATGAGGGTGATCTTTGACTTTTTAGAAATTCCAAGATTTCCTCTAAAATCCATATTTTTATCATTTTTGAATTTGAAGACTTTATCTTGATGTAAGTTGCCTTGACAAAAAGTGTTTTTTTGTTGACTTTTGAAATGACCTATAATGTATTTGTAATTGCAAGCTTCTCAAGTCATATTTAAAGCATGTGTTTTGATGAAGACAACATGGACATCAACATTCAAAGGATGTGCAAAAAGCTTATCAACATCAAATAAAAGTCTTGAAGATTATTGAAGATTATTGAAGAATTATTGAAGAATCATCAAATATCAAATATGGTATAAATAATTCTTAAAATCTTGAATATAGATGTTCACAATATGCATTCATCAACATATACATATTCCATAACTTTAACATCAAGAAAACTTTGTTTGAAATATCTTTCAAAAAGTATTTTTGAAAATAACCCTTTAGGAACCGGTTCCTCCCTAACAGGGAACCGGGTTCCAGAATTTCTCAAAAATCATGTCCCTGGTTTTTGTACCAGGAACCGGGTTGTAC